GTACGTGTTAATCTGTATACAGTATGCCTATACAATATACCCAGAAATAGGCCCTAAACAGTAAATATTACTATTTAAATAGTAAATAGAAGCTTGTATAAAGTAAATGAACCCCTATATAAATAAAATACAGACTTTAATATAAACATTCCTTATCTCAGACATAGAGTGTATAGCTTGGAATCTGTGTACATCAATCAACACTAGTGCCAAACTGTTTCCGTTAGACAGACTTCATGGATTGTATAGGTGTGCTGAATTTCCAGGTGTTAGGACGAAGTTTCCATAGGTGATACTGTTATATGACGACGGGCTAGCCAAAAAGACAACGCCGAAATGAACGGTAAACCTGAGAGAGGATAGGAATCAGGGGTAACAATGGGACAGCTCTTCCATTTTTGTCCCACTAATGAACGTAGTAAAAAGGAAACCGAAGGAAAGTTCTCGGTTCTGTAGAAAGTCCCCTCACAAGGAGAGTCATTCGATCATGCAGCCTGATAGTGCAGGCTATACGGATTCTGTACAGCGGGACGCACAATGTTGGCATTCATAGGCAATATGAATGCCAACTAGACAAAGGCAAATTCAATGAAGCGCGCTACATATGAATGCCAACTGAATTTGGTAGGGTTATATAGTGGCAATGCCATACGATGGTAAATATTGTATGTTAATGGTTTACAGAGGTTATCGAATTACACAGGGCCCGATAATGAAAGGGTAAAAATGTCTGTAAATATTGCATTAATTCCATTAGGCCTTGTTTCTATAAACAATCGCTGGATTAAAGCAATGTTCAGTCTGATCGCTTACAATTATTCCTCCGACAATTTAACTTGCTATGGGGGATGAAGATGTTGACCGATGAAGGCTATAGAATAAAACCAAACAACCTCAGGACATCGCTTTTATTGTCAGGGGACACACTGACTGGGGTCAGTTGAAGGTCATTTGTCCAGTAACGGCCAGGTCGCATGCAGCTACATACAAATATTCCATGGCGTCTCGCTGATTTGTAGAACTTTATTGGAATAAGGTTAAGTGTCTATCACGGGGAACATATTTTGTTATAAATATTATGAATTTATGTGTTATTATCTGAATAAGAGAAATTAAGAATCTTACTTGGATTTCCCCCCGTAAAAGATCCAGTTTCAAGTATTGTGTATACACTGTATGTCATGGTGCAGCTTTTGTCATTCGGCGCCCGTCATCCAAACATTTCTACAACAGATACTTAAATCTTTGTAATATCTTGTGATATTTGTCAACAAGTGATGCCGATTATGGAGTATTCAATTTCAAAATTGGCAACTAATTGATTGAGGCATATTTTTATATAAGTTATTAAACTGGCCTTTCAGACGTTGACCAAACTAATCCCATTTAGGGTGAATTCAAATCCATAATGGCTGACATGGTCATTAATTAATTGACTATGACCTTCGAGGTTTATTTTTAGAATTATCATAAGATCAGAAATATTTTTAAACACGAGACTTCCTTTTCGTATTCTTCATGTTTTTGATTCAAAGACGAAAACAATCAGACGTCTGCTACAGGCCCCTTTGATCTTTTGTTTCCTGTTGTCAGCACAACAGTGAAAGCAAACAACTTAAGTAGAAAATAATCATACTGTGCATCACAAAACGTAAACATGGGCACATTTGTCTTACCGTAATACCCAATATTCCATACCAAACACATCGCCGACAGCTTCGAAATACTTATTAACAAATACTGCGTTGAATACTAGATTTAATTTGAACATATTGTATAGTCGGAGGTAGTAAAATGTACAATCACATTTTAAATCAGCATGCTTATTATACGAACCAGTTTGTTAGCAAGATAGATAGGAGAATAATAACTAACCCCAGAAACGTTTTACGATTGATAAAATATATTGCTAGACTGTAAATGTATTGATTCAAAAATGCTACTTTTTTTAGAATATTGTGGACTTGAGTAACGGTTACGCGTTTTGTAGAAACTTATTTGGACAATCCATGATTATGTGACGTTACCATACAGATACGGGAGCCAGGAGGCTTTGATCTAATCACCGTATAAGTATAATATATATGTATGAGATTATACTTCAGTTTTCCCACGACACACAATTCTTTATTGATAATAGTTCCGAAAATTCACAATTTCCCTGTAGACAAGCTTTTAACTGAACTCTTATCTCGCTAACCGTGCCAGGCCGCCATTAAAGTCACTGGGGCCAAAGACTACGTCAGAATCAAAAGGCCAGCATTTTATCCGCAAGGTATAGCCTACTGTAAGGTCCTGTATCGAAAATACGTCTTAACCCCATAGTTAAGTACACGTGCTTTCATCACCGATATCGTTGTAAAATAATTAGTATGCAATGTTGACGCACGTGCCGAACTTGTAATAATCACACGCTCTTGTTGTTTGATGAAATGTCCGTCAACGTTTAATATTACGCTAATTTCGGTAGATTTGAGATAATGGATCATTAGTGGCCTTAGCAATTTTGCTAAGATCTCCGATTTGCGTACAGGTTAAGCAGGTTTAGACATGATGGTGTTGAGTTTCCTGCCGATCTGCTGAGCTCCGTGCCGAACTGCCGAACTCCGTGCTGAAATGAGCTCTGTAATCACCATGGCGTCATATGACAGTTTTAATTATTGTCCTCATTGAAATTTGAGTGTCGCAAAGTAGGCCAAGAAGGCCATTGACATATGTGGCTCTGAACTCGGCCAAGAATAAAAGGCGGGGGAGACGTTGGGATGGGGGCAGAACACATTGAATTCGATTCTATTATATATAGTTATTACCGATATAGAGATAAGAATTCCTTTAGATTTGTGATATTGATGTGGCTGTGTTGGTAGTTTGGTCCTTACGACAATCTCACGTTATCTAAAGCGGAAGTGATCGTTTTTTCCTCTTCATGTTATAAAGCAGCGTTTTACTTTGAACGCAAATAGTAGTCTGGCACATTCGCGGAGGTCATTCTGTGCATGTACACTGTACAATTAAAAGGGGCAATGTCCATTTCACTATATCGCCTCACCGAGAAATATCCGGAGTCGACAGTGTAATGATCACAGCTGAGGATATTTCTTGGACAACGATTTGGTGCTGGATTTGGGCAAGAGTAAAACATTGGCCTCCATCATCAGTTGTGATTCTATGTTTCATATACAATTATTACTGTAATATGTACTGTTTACGGCTATATTATCATAAGGTTTTAGATATGAACTACTTATGTCTGTGTGTTTGTTTTAAGTTTGATATTTGCCTGTACATACGCGATACGTACAGCAGGTTCGGGGAAAGAGAAGACCTGCTATATCCCACTGCATGTCCCAAGAGGCGACTTATATGAGCCGCTGCCGAATCGGGGATTTTCTTAGGTGTTTTCTTTTAAAACATTTTTTTTCTCCATTTATAAATCGCTCCTGTAGGCCCGGATGACACCTCACAGAGGATCTTACTGTGGGAGGAAACCGAAGTATCCGGAATAAACCCACGTGGTCGGACAGGTCACCCAATATCTTTTCATGTCCGATCGGGGAGTTGAACACTGGCCGTCTTGGTAAAAGACGAGTGCGCTATCCACTGCGCCACTCGACCCCCATTGCATGTATAAACGTGCTCGAAATGTCCCCAATAAACACCAATAAGTCGACATAGGAGACAATCGTTCATGTATGAATTAATATACACAATCTTCGTATTTATCCTAGTACCAAATTCTCCTACCAAAACCTGTATACAATGAAGCCCACGCTCTCCATTTATACTCGTCTTATTATCAATAATATATGTATGTATAGAGGTGCTACATTCAATTTCCATGTTCGTTGGTGAATTAGTCGACTAATGCATAAGTTATACAATATTGCGTAAAAATAAACATTTAGCCCTGGTATAAAGGTGTGCCAGTGAAACGAAATTCAATCATTTTACTTTTGAAACTAATTTGAAAATAATGCAAAACTCCGCTTCGAACATTGGACAATATACATATGTATATGTAGCACTTCACGAACTAGAACTCAGTTCGTTGCCAAGCACGCACGCGTGTTTTACTACTGTGTACCTTGTCAGGAGATTTTGTACCGTCACAGACAGACTTATTAATCGAAGGATAATAATAATATTTGGAAACTTAGAGAAATATATTTGTAGGTAGTACCAGTGTGTGTAATATCAACGGGGTTTAGCTGGAAACTGTTCATAAAATGATCGATCGCTGGTTGGTACGTCAAATTTTGTTTATAATATACCGGTATATACTGCCGAGTCTGATTGTAGACAGTACCTGGTACGCTCCGTCTGATAAAAGCCATGCACGGAATTTTCCGGTAATTTACTCTGTAAACTAAACAAATCAGAATGTTTGCATATTCCCGAATATAAGCTTGACGTCAGGCAGATTATTTGAAATATCATCAGATTCTTGAAAAAATAATTAATGATTTTTAAGTTTGTTGAAAGATTCGAAACCAAAACTTGTAGATTCTCTTTGATGACCGTTAATTGAGCCATCAAGGTCTGATGTTTAAACTGAACCTTTTGTGAGTTGTTATCCCCGCCAGCATAAATATAAGACCCAGAGCGAGACACTCGGAATATCTCGGCTATGTACGTAGAGCCGATTAATGGACAGACTCCTAAACAATTTACATTAACCCTACAAATGAGTTTACAACTTAAGACTGTGTATTTACTTACATTTGTGATTTTGTGTAGATAACACCTAATTTTGGCCATCCTAGAAGTTGAACTGAAAGGTTGTATAGGGAGAGTTAAAGACTTGTAGATATATGGATTAACATTTCACAGGATTGTCTGGAATGAATCCCACCAGTTCTAATCCTTTACCTTTACGTTTCAGATGAACTGTGTGTTCGACTATGGAGTCTACAACACCTCCAAGTTCTACAACTGCCGAACTCAATTGTTCACTTGGAATGCTGAGCGGAGAGTTACTTCCCCTTGTCAACTCAACGTTGAACGGGTACAGTTCAGACTGTAACGTTACCATGGAGACCGACTCGAACATTTCCGTCGGCATGCCACCACATCCGGTTCACTCAACATCCGTTCAGGCAGTTGTCGGTCTATCATTGCTCTTTTTCATCATAGAAATCGTCGGCATCGTCGGCAATAGTCTTGTTGTTATTGTCGTTCTGTTGGACCGGAAGATGCGACAATCTGTGACAAACATTTTCATCATGAATTTGGCGGTTTCTGATTGGATGATAATGGTGTTCGGGATACCGGAAATCGTCCAGGTGATGTTAAATCGAGGCTGGGTACTAGGACCCGTCCTTTGTAAATTCAACCGTTTTGTTCTAGTGGTATCGCTTTACGCTTCCATATTGTCCCTGGTGTCCGTCTGCATTGAAAGGTAGGTTGAATGCTATATTTTGGGTAAATGGAGTTCGCATTTGGGAAACATGCTCTCTTTCATCTTTCTTCATTTCTTGTGTCTATTATCATTTATATTTAAAATGTCTGTTATCGCGTTTGTCTGTGGAAAATGACGCATCGGCTTTTATAAATATTAAAAAAGACTATTTGTTCTGATATTTGCGCCTGCGGAGATGAAAGCAAAAATGAGAACGGAAGATTCGAGGCTTCCACTGAGCCCACTCTCAAGCCGCAAATGCTTCTTGTAGCAAATTAGATAAATTGAGACTTTTTTTCGTATTGACAAATACAATCTATCAGATGATCTCCTTTTATCAAAATACTACTCACAGAATTAGAATAACATGTTATAGTTAACGGTTCTAGAGCTACGCTACGAGATTGTTGGCGGAAGATAAGTTATCTACATATTCCCATGGAACTACAGATATATTTGAGCAGTTGGCGTGTATTTTAAAAGTCTCCCGTGATCACAATTCACGAATGCTTTTCTGCGAGGTTGGTATTCGTGATTAAATTTCTTTGTAATGATAAAAAGTCAAAATAGATGTAAGTAAAGAACTAGATAAAAATGATAGCAATTTATTAATTCTCTTCGGTTTTGCAAACTAAAGAGTGGAACAAACGTGACAGTACAGTCACACAAGTAAGTAAAGATTATGTGATAGACATGTATATATGAAGGAAAAAACAAGCTTTAGATTGGCGATTATAAACAAAGATAACATTTGTAGCACCGAGTATTTTCTTTCGGATAAACAAAGTTACACTGATTATCGGATAAACGTGATTAAACAAATGATCAGAGGCTGTGCTAACGAGGCTATTATATATTATATGCCGAATATTGGATTCACTAGGTTAAACTTATTATCGGAGGCTGTGTTAACGAGGATACGCCGATAATCGGATTAACGTGATTACCAGAGGCCTAGTTAACGAGGATACGCCGATAATCGGATTAACGTGATTACCAGAGGCAGCGTTAACGAAAATACGCCAACAAAATCAGATTTAAGAGTTTTAACTGATTATCGGATTGTGAAGGTTAAAATGATGATTTGAGACAGTGTTATGTTGATTATCGGATTAACGAGGTAACACCGTATTATCGATGACCGGTTTAACAAGGTTACAGCGACCCTCGGAGGTGAGATAAATGAGATGCTATGTGCTAGAGTACATCAATCTAGCTTCTGAGCATGCTCTAACTGTCTATTGCTTTACTATTGAACGAGTCCCCAGGGTTGACAAGCTTACATCACTTGTAATGCTAGCTTGCCAATCAGTCCTTATTTTCCCTCATATTCCTTGGTTCCTTCACTCTAAGATGTCTTTATCACAGACCAGGGCCCACTTGTATAAAACGTCTCAAAGTTAAGGAAAATCTCAAGCAATGTATTGTTTATGGGAAATCTAAGACTTGAGGAAATCTCAAGATTTGAGGAAATCTCAAGATTTGAGATGTTTTATACAAGTGGGCCCTGGCCTAAGGAATTCCGTGGGTTATCCTGTATACACATGTACTTGCCCTTGCCACCAGGAACTCTGGCCGTAAAAAGCGTCCGAGGGTTTCGACGTAGCCAGGCACCAAAGGGAACGTCCAAGCGGCACACATCCAGCCGCTGACCACGATCTATGGTGCTAGCTATTGTACGAGCCGAAAGGATTAATATGTACTGTAGCATTCTAGTAAAAGCAGCATTTACCCTGGTACTTGAGTTGAAGACAGAATTATCAAAGTACAAATTAATATGGAATTGATTTTAAGAATTTCCGAAGTCTTGAAATCCTTGCTTAATGGAGTTGTTTTTTGACCCTTTGAGATGCTTTCTGTGGTCGCTGTTTGTTCCTACGCGGTAATTGCACTGTGATCGTAGGGTAATGTTGCTGTTATTACCAACTCCTGGCCTACTAGCTAAAGAAACTAGAGTTTTCGTTTACTATAATTTTATGAAGGGCAAAGTTATAATACATAATCGAAAAATGCCTTCAAATAAAAACCCGTTTTTTTCTAAATTCCTTTTAACACCCCAACTTCCAATGCTTCTTGAATTAAAGGTGTAAACGCTTGCGGAGAGTGTCAATAATTGCATTGGGAGAGTAGAATTGAAATAAACTCATGAAAAAAAGAAATAGGGCAATGTCTCCTTCAGAAACGAACACCAGATGTACAACATATATATACCTTGTAAACAAATAGAAAGTGATGTCACAGTCGCTGTGATGCCTTTAATGGAGTACCTTGGGGCTTGGCTGTCGCGCTAATGGGCAGGGTCGTTCCGGTATAGAGAGGCAGGCCGTATAAATTGATGTTTTGTCTGCTCAGCTGATTCAATTTTATAAACCTACAGTAACAGAACAACAACATAGCGTCTATCACGATCCCTACAAACAACCTTACCACGATTCTCCCTAAAGTGGCTTCCGTCAAAATCGGTGGATTGAGCAACACTGATCAAGGGGTTTATTATAAGAGCCGCATACTTATATATACAAATGTATGTAGTCTTTAATTGGCAGGATAAATCGAGATCCTGTTTGTGTACACATGTCATTTTTGCGTTTACGTCTGGGAGTTATCCTTCGCCGCCTGACCGACATAATACCACAATAAGGCAAAAGCTCACTTTTTTTTTTTTTGATCACACTTTGTTTCAATAAATTAACATAAATTTTACATCTGTAATTCTGGACAACTGCAGCCAAATAAAACGAAAGTGCCGACCGTCGTTATATTATTTGAGTCGAGCCATTTATAAAGGCCTCAACAAAGCAATGATAATGGGCGATTTTCAAGCAAAGCAAGTTTATGTTTTAAAAAAAAGAGGACATCGATGAGGTGTCCATTGAATACTAAAGGGTACGTGTATGTGTAAGCTACCTTATTGTGACGTATCTTCTTCCCAAAAGATTTTCAAATAAAGTCTCCTGTAAAAATGTCTTTCTCAATTGATGCAAAACTTTGGAAAGTCTTAGCAAGAAGTTACTACATGTAGTACGTACAGGTACGAATTGGTAATGACTAGATACTTATGAATTATTAAATTTTATTAAAAAATAAATGTGATTGACTGTCATACTTTTTACCATAGAGATACACGTTTGTTTGTTTGTTTGTGTTTTATATATTTCATATTTTTTCATATGAGGACGGGTGCCTAGGGAGACACCTTCTGAAACAGAAAAGTAGATTTAAAAGAAAGAAATTAGTAAAGAAATCCCAAGTGTTGTGATGGGGTGTTACGGCACGATTTCTCATCCGTGCAGGGGTGCGAACTCAGCAATGTTAGCACAATTTCTCACCAAGGTCGGGGTGAGAAATTGTGCCGTAACATGGATCAATTTGGGTATTTTCCATCTTCCCTTCGTCCTTCGTCGAAGACAGTCGATTCTGCAGGAGGCCCTCACATAGGTCGCCTCTTACGATACAACTGCAGTGGAATACAGCAGGCCTAATTCTAATTTCTTCATTTTCCCCCTCAATGGAAAAAAAGGATTATCACAAAACACACTGTATTTATGGTAGAGTTGTTGTATGACCTGAAAATAATCTATTTTGTTGTTCACCAATAGTTCACCTTAGTACAATTTTTGTCCGCTAGGCTGCGCTCTTTGATAATAATGTATTTTCGAAGTGAAACCTAGGGGAGAGTGTAAAAACCACAGCAGGCAATCTGTCTAGTTCACTTCAAGATTAACCTCGCAATTCAAATGTTTTCAAAAATCTCAATAGCAGCCTAAGGGAAAGTAATTTTGTGAAATATGTTCAGTATCCACAACAAATCACCATGATGTCAATTTTATTTAAAAAGTTCAACATTTGATTTGCCAAGCATGGCAATAATTCATTTTCTGCGACGAAACTTTCCCATGACACTTTGGATTGTTTTTTAAATTGTCTGGTTTGTTCACCCCTATATGTATACGTTGATGTATGTATCTCATTTACGTCATCAAACATGGGATTTCTCTAAGTTTTATGAGAAACTATAGGGTCATTTGGGGTGGGGGGGTGG